CTTCAACACCTCTGCAAGCGCTTTGGTATCAAAGCAAACACCAAGGTGGGTGTGTGCGCGTGAGAAGGTGTGTGGGTGTGTGTGGGTGGATGGATACACTTGAACGAAGGTGTGTGTGTGTGTGTGTGTGTGCACGCGCATGTGCGTTCGTAGGTATGTGCGTGTGCGTGTGTGTGTATGAAGGTGCGTGCATTCCTTGTGTTCATGTCGTCGTGCTTTGGTGGATGACAATGTTCTGTGAGCATCAATGTGTGACACATGGCATGTTCCTCTGTTGTGCAGAATGTGCAAATGATCGCAGAGCTGAAGCAGCTCCACGAAACGTGGCTGTAAGTGCTGCACACACTACCGTACACATAGCCTCTTCTGCGCCTGTCAATGTTGCACCGTGTGTGTGTGTGTGTGTGTTGTGTGTGTTGTGTGTGCATGCAAGTAAGGCTAGCGGTGACATGCACCATGCATTCATGAAGCAGTTGGTTCACATGCTGAGTGCACTTTGTGCACGTGCAGTGCCCAGTGTGACAGTGCGGACATAAGCGCTGAGGACGAGCAGCAGGAAAGCGAGGAGGCAGCAGGGGAGGATCAACGGTCAGATAACAACATGTGCATGGACACGGTCGTTGACGCTCACAACACCAACGCTGATGAAGTTGAGGCGTCGATGAAGGACGATGCTGACGACGTGGAGCATGATAGGCGTGTTGAGCACCAAAGCAAGTACGAACGCGTCGACCAGCAAAAAGATGCATTGGACAGCAGTGATCAGGCTGCTACGGATGAGAACACCCCGCCAACAACAGTAATGCAGACAGAGGTGAGTGCATGTGTGTGCATGTGATTTGTGTACACTAGCGCAAATGCAGTTGACCCGAGACGTTTGCTGACGTGGTGGCTTGCGAATCACATTGACAGGAAGACAGCAATGCCAGTGAAGAGCACGCTGCTATTCCAACCAGCCCATGCACCCCAAAGAGGCAGATTCTCTCCATGGCCGGAACCCCACGTCAGTATCCTGTTCTCTGTGTCTGAGTTTGTGCTTCAAGGAGGTCTGTGTGTATGTGTGGGTTACGCACCTACACATGTACGTGTCTGCTTGTGGACGTGTCTGTTTGAGCACGTGGGTATGCGACGACGTGTTCGCTTGGGTTTACGTCCGCCGTGGAAACACATTCCGCTGTATCATGTAACCAGTGACACTCGCTATTACTGCATCACCACCACCCAGGGTCTGGCCGCAAGACGTGGAGGGAGAGTCCGGTTGTGTCATCCCTCCGTCGCCTTTCGCATGTGGTGGACGGATCCACACCGCAGAGCCCGCTCGCTCAAGCGCCATCAACCACCACAGCTGTCGCCACACCAAGCACCGTCAGTTGTGTGTGTGTGTGTGTGTGTGTGTGTGTGTGTGTCTATGTTGTGATTCTGGCAGTCGTGTTCATCTGCTTGCATCGCTCTCGCTGACGTGTCTCGACCTCTTCCCAAACTCAACACAACCAACACCACTGATGTTCGCCGATGGCGCTAAATATGCAGGATCTTCGTGCGTCGATCATGGGCGACCTTCAAAGAATCATGCAGTCAAAGCGGACAGCGAGTGAGTGTTATTGCCCGAATGCAAACCTCAATCAAGCACACATGCACACATAGCACACTGTTCCCCCATCACAGATGTGTCGACACGCACTCATATGTGCGCGCGCTCACTCTCACATACGCGCATATTCACACTCTCACATACGCACATATTCACACTCACACGCACCACGACATGACTCTTCAGCACCGCAACGTGCAGGCCACAAGCGCACGTCTCTCAGCACGACCACAACCACAATAACAGCAGGTGGCGGCGTAGGGAGAGCGGATCAGCGTGGCACCCCACACTGCAGGCGCGGTGGTATTGCGGAATGGGCAAAGCACCAGACAGCCTCCCCGCGCTCAACAACAGAAAAGAAATTCGACCGCCTCCACCGCAGCATCAAGTGTGTGTGTGGGTGTCTGTGTGTGTGTGTGTGTGTGTCTGTCTGTCTGTCTGTCTGTCTGTCTGTCTGTCTGTCTGTCTGTGTCTGTGTCTGTGTGTGCGTCTGTCTGTCTGTGTCTGTGTCTGTGTGTGTGTGTGTGTCTGTCTGTCAGTCTGCCTGCCTGTCTGTCTGTCTGTCTGTGTGTGTGTGTCTGTCTGTCAGTCAGTCTGTCTGTCCATCTGTCCATCTGTCCATCTGTCTGCCTACCTCATGCTCCCATCCACCCATCTGCGTGTCCGTCACCCTGCCTGCTGCCATTCACTGTGTACTCCCCATTGACACCCCACAAGGGCGGAGACGCTTGATGAGGAGCGAGCGCGGAAGGAGAAGCGACGGGCTGCGCTGTGTCGCGAGCACAACAAATGGGACCGCTTGGCAGGCGCCGGCAGGAAGAAGCACACCCCCGCCACCACAGCCGTGGCCCCAGCCACAAAGGTAGGTCTCTCTCTCTCTCTCTCTCTCTCTCTCTCTCTCTCTCTCTC